ATATTCTGTAATACGTAATCTGTAATCTCATGAGAGATTTCTTAAAATAAGTAGGACGAAAAAAAATGCATAAAGATCCGTAGTCCAGAAACGCGAAATATTAGATCGGTTCGATGGAAAAATCGCTTCTCCGAAAATTTCTGATCGTTAATTTCGATGTTTGAACTTCTAGCGGTTACTGGTGCATAAAAGTCGTTACGCGAACTTTATTAAATACCGAATATTCTGCAGAAATTACGGCGAAGTGCATGCCAGAATTTTCGAGGACTTACCAACAACGTAAACAGCAGATTAATACAGTAATATATCCTAAATGAATGTTTGTTCGGAAACCGAACATAAGAAGATTATCCTTGTTACAGAATTTACTTTATCGAATTACTCTGGAGCATAATTCGTCGAACAAACTTCGCGTAATGTTTAAATCCTTATGCCAATAACCGAATTCCCGATTTCGTTTGAAAATGATTTTTATCAACAAGCTTTTCGACATATGGGACAATCTGTTGAAAATATAAAGGCGTGACTATAAAGGTGTGTCATTCTAAATAAAAATTAATTTATTTACATTACTAAATTAAATAGTGAGGAACAAAAATAAATTGTTTCTTTTAGTAATTTTCGTAAAATGAAGAGAAGACAGCAAATTTTTCTAATGTGTTTACACTTAGGCGTTTCATCTACTCAGATAAATGCACCAAATCCGCAGTACTTACATGATTACGGTTGAAACACATTTTTTTGTTTCGTGTGTTCAATAACGTGCAGCAAACGAATTATGCTTCCATTATTATAAATTTATTCATTTTATAGTCGCCGCATTAACCTCGAGGTCATTGGCGAGCACACGGCTTACAATTAACATAAAGACTTGTATTCTAAATCATAATTAAAATTTATATTACAGAGTATAACGGAAACACTATATAACAGAGAACCATTTGTTATTATTGATTATACGTCCGTGTTCGTTTTGGTCTCGCGTAGGCATTAAAGCATCATAATAAAGTTTATAACAATATTATTATAATGATGTTACAATTACAATGAAGTTTGTAATATTATAATGATGTTCCATTTATATAATCACACCCCTTTTAATAAAAACTCGATACACACGAAACAGCTTTGCGTTTCCGCCTCTGTTTGCGTTCGAACTTATTGAACGGTAGAAAATGTTAGTTATCGACGACAATGGATAAAGACATCAACGTAAATGCGTTCGCTATTGTTTGGCATGCGTACCAGTTGCGTCACATTTACGAGCATGATACAGCGATCGCTATAATTACGATCATTGTTCTCGCGTGACGCGATTTGTCTTCTCCGCCTAAACGTTGTCATCGCTTTCGCGCAACCGGCACACCATTGATACCGACATATTGCCGAGATGTAACCGAAACGGGACGCGGCTGAAGATCGTCATAAATCATGCCACGCATCGTGGCACGTGACAAATGTTGAATGAACCATAATTGCCCGGCTGTCTGCCGTGTCCTTCCCCTATTAATATCTGCGGATAAGAAATAGCAGTCGCGAAACAACAGACGTCAGATCGAAATTCAATTTCGTGGTCGTTCAGGGCACGTCAATCCACTTTCAAGCAGTAACGCCAGTTCTACGCCGTACTTTCGAGCAGAGTTGAACAACATTTTACTCGGACAGCAGATCAAGACTAACGAGTCAAATTTTATTCCACGCCATCGCATTGGTATCCAATCGAATCAGAATATATATGGATAACAGTTCAGCCGAATAAGAATTTATCTAGCTAACTATTGATCCGAATCAGAATGTATTCGATTAAGATTTTATTCGAGAATATAATCGAATATATAATGAATAAAATTCATTTAGAATATAATCGATTTGAATGTAAACGATAGAATATAGTGTTTGTTTAATAATTTATTGATTAATTTATTCCCTGTTAATTTTTAGAGTTCGCCGTTTTTCGAACGTAGCATCGGAAATTGTCGTCGTTGTAAGAATATCAAGAAGTAAATATGCATGTAATATGATCAGTTGATTGGCGAAAATTGAGCCGATTCCGAATATATGGGCATTGTGGAATGTATTCGCAATGGATATATTCTTGCAAAATTAGGTAAAAGTAAAAATCAATCAATTATTGTTCGCATTATTATTCGAATAATTTTACAATCTCTGTTCGGATAATTTATTCGAATGGAGAATAAAGAATTGTGTATGGCTGGAATGATTTCAATCAATTGACAAAAACTAGTTCAATGATATAATTTTGAACGAAATCAGTGATGGTTACCAGAGTAACTTATTAAGATATCTTTTATTAGAAATTGTAAATTTTTGAAATCCACATTTAGTATGGAAAATAATATTTTATTCAGCACTGTGCTAGTTTCTATCCTCACTAATTAATATTTCTTAAAGTGCGTACTTAAATCTGTTTCTATTCGTTCTGTTTCATACATACAGGGTGCTCCAAGTTTTTTCGGCCAATACAGTGTTAGCATATCCTACGAGCGAAAATAAGAAAAAAAATGGCATATAAACATTCAAAAATTAACAAAAATTCTTCATTAAAAAATTATAAGAAAAATACGAAATAAGAACGGACTGGTTGGGAATATTTACCAATGTACATATGTTGGCACTATTTCGAAATGTTCTTTTTTGAAAATACAGCATCGACATCTATCAAAAATATATAAAAGAAATTCCAGTAATATTTTTAAGAAATTTTTTAGTAAAGTATTTTTGAGTCTATGTTTATATGATATTTTTTTCTTATTCTCTCTCGTAGAATATGCTGATACGGTTTGCCTGAAAAATCTGGGACATCCTGTATATTAAAAATCACTCTTTCAATTTTCAATCATTCTGTATCTAGTTATTATAAGCAATATTTACTTTAACTTTAGCAGTTTTACAATGTGCGCATAACTGATATCAAAATTCATCGTCTTTTTATGACCGCTACTGTAGATAACGTAGATTATTTTCATTGCGTATAAACGGGAACCGAAAGTTACAATCGTGTAACATCGTGAACCGTCCACGCTACAACCGCGTAGCATAATGATAACAATGGCCAGGCACACTGACATTGTCAATTTATTATCGTCGTATACGTCGCACGTATACGCACCATTGTATGCAACATACAGCCGTATTCAATTTTTCCAATTTCTGTTATTAAAAACACGAAACGATTAATTGTTCACGGCACAGCGAAATTCGCATATGAACCTTCTATCGAGATCATCGCGAAATATTGACCATTCATTTTTGAACACTCAAATCGTAGCAGAGCTATATCGATCAGCGTGCAAATTTACTAAACATTGTACTCGTACAAGCAATGGAAAAAATCATTCCGCAGAATACAGTTCGAAATTCGCGTTCCCATTGGTAATTGATGTTTTGCGCGGAGCTAACGATGCTTATTTAACGTACCTGAAAAAATTTATTTCTAGCTGTTTTTGCAGTTATTGAAAACGTAAAGTTAAGAAACTTTACATATCGTTAACATTTGAGTGTGATATTATTAAATGGAAAATATATATCATAGTGGAGCATATGATACATTGTTTACATTGCAATAATAATTTAGAAAATACGATAAATGAAAAGAAAATAATAGAAATTTTTATAAAATTACCAATATTACAAAAAGTAGAAAATAAAATAAAAATCGAAAATGAAAAGATTATAAAAAGATAAAATTAATGTTTTCGTTGACATAGTAGAAAATATCCTTTACCCCAGAAAAATCAATCGATATTTCGAAATGATGTAATTTTGTGAAAAACAATCGTATAATAACAAATGTTTGTTCATTTGAAAGCTTGAAGTCCCTACTTTTTTCTACCATTCGTCATCGTTCTCTAAAATATTTTTGCTCGATGTAGTGGGTAGGAGACTGAAAGCATGATTTTTTAAAAAAATTACTAGTGATTGAAGCGTCCGTAGAAACTTTGGAAAATTTTGATCGCGGTTACATCTATCACAGATTTAAAGATTGTAGCTTCCCCTTTGCAACGATCCCTCAAAACTTGGTGTACGATTTTTTTCAGTCGTTCTACGGAACAGAAACGGGCAACAAGTTCGGTCAATCAAAACCCTCATTCATCTTGTATAACTGTAAAGTACACGTTTCGTTCGAAGTTCAATAAAGTGACTAAAAAAAATTGTACGGTAAAGTTTCGGGGCTCGTTGTAAAGGGGAGATTTCAATTTTTAAATCTATGCGAAGACCTGTCAAGAAAAAAAATTTTTCAACGTATTTAATGATTTTTAAATCGGTAACATTTTCAAGAATATATTTCTTTCATCGGGGGCTTGAATTTAACTCTATTTTAACTGTAACTAAACTGTAATTTAATTGAAATTGAACTGTAATTTAAGTGTAATTTGACTATAGTCTTAACTGCAATTGAACTGTAATTGAACTGTAATTAAACTGTAAGTGAACTGTAAGTGAACTGTAATTCAACTGTAATTTAACTGTAATTTAACAATAATTCAACTGTAATTCAACTGTAATTTAATTGTAATTTAGCTGTAAACTGTTAACTTCTGAATTATTGCTTTTTATGTTTCTAGTTAACATTAACACTCTAATTCTGTTATAACATTTCAAGTGTGTTTTCCTCTTCTTTCGTCGCTGCAACTAATCGTAATATATGAAATCAATTTTTTAGACATTGTCTAGTAGACCTCTGACATCTGAAAAAAGATAATGCAAGTCGTTTCGTCCAGTTTTAAAGAAGTTATTGCATTTAAAAAGAAATACGAATACTTTCTACGCCAACTGTATGTCTAATTGGAGTACGAAGATTATCAGACAGCATCTGCTGTTCGTTTCCGCCGCAGTATCGATAGCAACTCCGCGGAGCGTTCTAATCGCGGATAATTCTGGACGAGCAGACATCCCGCGGAATATAATCTTTAACCGGTCTAATTAACTTGCCTTCCGGCGGGTCCTTGCTACGTAGCTCATCGTATTTTCTTTTGCAGCGGCAATTATACAAACTTTGGATTTCCATTGGAACGAGAGCCGGTGGTCTCTGCCCGATCCGCCCTCGTTCCGCTTCATCCCGTCGTCCCTACCCGATTTGGCAACAATCGCAAGGTAAGCGGATTATTTAAGGACTTTCCGTAGTGCATACTACGTAGAAACCTCCGCCGTCACTATTCACCAATACGTCCACGGTGGTGCTGGTTTTCTGTGAGGGAACGTCGTTGGTGTGAGCCGATGGACAGAGAGCGAGGGAAACGGGAGAGAGAGACGAAAAGGAGAGAGAGAAAGAAACAGAAGGAGACGGTGAAGGAGCGAAGAAGAAAGGGAGATAGAGAAACAGAGGGAGATGGAAAGAGAGGGAAAGAGATGCAGAAAGTGACAGAGACAAAAAGAGAGAGAAAGAGAGAGAGAGAGAGAAACAGAAATAGACAAGAAGAGAGAGAAAGAAATAGTAAAATAGCGAAGAAGAGAGCGAGAGTGAGACATAGAGAGAGGCAAAAAGGGAGAAAAAGAGACAGTAAAATAGTGAGAAAGAGAGCGATAGAGAGAGAAAGAGAGAGAGAGTAGAAGTGCAAAAGAAAGAAAGAGGGAGGGAGTGACAATGAAAGATTGAAAGAGAGAAAGAGTGAGAGTTTGAGCGTGAGAGAAAGTGAGAGAGAGAGCGTGTGTGTGTGTGTGGATGAGTCAGAGAGAGAGAGAGAGAGAGAGAGAGAGGGGGTCGAGCACTTTCAGCAAAGTTCCAGATAAATCGCATTTCGTCGAATCGAGAGAAAGGGAACAAAATAAAGCGTGGCTTTTATCGGCATTTTAATTACGCTCCTTCCCCGGAGCGACTTTCCTCGCTTTCCATAAGGAGTTGCTCAAACATGAATTTTCTTCTGGCGTCGCTGCGCGCTGGATGCCGCAGCGGCACTTTACAGTCACTCACTGAATTATTCGGGAATCGGCTTGGCTGCTCGGTAATGTGTAGACCGAGATCTTCATTCGAATTTTCGTTTGTGGTCATTACTTCGGGAGGGAACGTTTCTGGATTTCTAGGGAGAGTAAACTTTTTTTGGTTTACACATTGTGCTTTGGCAACCGCGAGAACACCATGAGGTCGAAGCCTGCAGAAACGTAACAAAAAGGAATAAAGAATCTATTTTTCTGAATGAAAGAATGAGAAAGAAATCGAAAAGTATGTGATAATAACCATTGTATAGCACAAACAATTAAAAGCGTATAAAATAGGTAACAGGGACGAGAAGGAAAAAGTATTATAGAGTTTGAATCATACGATATATTATATTTTGTATATTGTGTATTTTATTATACGAGTTGTCCCATTTGAACTCAATTACCTCCTGAACTATAGTTCGTTTCAAAAAATGCGTTAAATAGAACTTACTCAGTTTATCCTCGTTGTACGAGGTTTGCTTACTTTTCTATATACATCTTAGATAACAGCTTTAGTATTGATTTCTCCAATCCTAAAAATATTAGATCGATGTCAGGTATAGTTGATAATACCTGCACATAGTATGCGCACAAAAATTCAAATATTTCTCGGAGATCTAGTTTTAATTAATTTTTGTACCGCTATGTCGAATTTCGAAGTATATTGAATTTACGCGTTTCTAATCTGCAACAAGTAAATGTTTGCTGGAGAAAAAATGATCAAATCCTCTTACAAGTAACTAACAATGATACAAATTATTGCACAGTTATTAATCTTTAGTGATCGCATATTTTTAGGAATGAACGGAATTTCATTTTGATGAAATTTGTGATTACGTTACAGTGGCTAAAGTAGAGCTTTAATAACATGAACTATGGCCGCTGCTCAAAGGACAAAGGATGTCAAAGCAGGTAATGTAAGTGCACAAAGTGATGTAAGTGTAATACGCGACTACCCAAGAATATATTTAATACATATATTGAGAATTGACATGAATATTTTCGTTTTTCTATATTATCCATTCTTCATATTCTATTTGATTGATGTAAGAAAATTTATGAGTTTTTTCGCGCAACATCTCGCCATTTTTGATATAATAAAGTTAATATATTAGAAAAATAAAATAAAATAATTGTTCTCAATATTAAGTCATAGTCTTAATTTCTAGGTCAAATGGATGATCAGAGGTTGTCGCAATTAATATATGTTACATAATAACATTAAAATCTTGAAATTACAAACACAAAGTTAAATTATAAGATTGTTAAAAGATTTTTAATAATAATCGGAAGTAAAATAGAGAATGTAGGTTTTATTGCAGATCCTTAAAAAGGTACTAATTTCGATAGACGCAACTTGTTGAGCAATCAAGAAATACCAAAACTGACAACTTGTCGATCAATAAACCGTGGATCTTTACGCAAAATCAAAATTGTCTAAAGTAATTGTAAGGAACATAAATCCGCTAAAAATATCATTTTTTGTTTAATCATTATAATAAGTTGTACATAATATTAAAATATTCTTAAATTCTTTTAAAGTTTAAAGCTTTTCTTTTGAAGCTTCTGTTTAACTTGAAGTCATTGTTGTAAAAAAAGATGAATAAAGATGAATCAAGAAACTCTGAAACTTACTTTCACTTTAACGAATTCAGCTCACACAGTTTTTATTCCCCCTAATAGAAAAAAGCTTCTTCATTGATGGATACCACATTTTTTCCACGCCTCCTTAGGGTTCCGTTACACATGCTCGACAAGATTGTGATTTTCTGATTGAGAAGCTGTCGATAAAGTATGAGCCATGTCGTGTAAGCTCCGCCCCGATAGGGGACGATCTTTGTAAAGCAAGTACTTGGACATATACATGCATAAAAAGAAGTAACAGGAGACTTACACGGATGCGAATGATTGCAACAAATTAAACAAACATCGAAAATTGAAAATTAAAAATTTAAACATCGTAAATTTAAACATCGAAATACTTGCTGTTACAATTGGACATTTGAAACGAAGCACGAACAATAATTTGTGTGTTACCTGAACAATAATAATGTGTGTTACCTGACACCTAGTAATTCTTAATAAAAAATGTTTCAAGTAAAGATTAGTCAGTACACAGTTCCTAAAAAATTGTAATACTAAATGTTGATAAAAGACTTTTCTATTCAACAAAAAAAAAACAAAATCGTTACAATTTTTTTTAATATAACTGTATACTATTTATGTACATATTGATTCATCTTTGTATTCCCTTTCAAAAATTATTAATGTACTTGGGTCGAAAATTAATTAGTTTAGAAGTTATGATTATTGTCCCGAACGCCCATGAGATCGCATCAAAGGGTTAACGGGAATAGAACAAAACTGTCGAATGCAAACATAATTTTAACTATAGTATACACTATAACTTTACGTGGTCTCATTGCTGATAGAAACTGACATCACCAAGATAACGAACATGTTTTTTTTGCAAAATAATTTTCTCTCACTGATTGATGCCCTTTGCAAGATATAATCCTTATGCTTAGATGCAGCTGGCTGCAATTTGTCCGCAGTTATTGATGATGACAAAAGACGCTGTACCGATCTACGTTCCCGTCTCCTTTAGCTTGACTATCCTTGCTGACCCTACACCTGTTGTGCCTCGGGTGAGACGGATACCGTAATATTGCGATTTTGANTGTATACTATTTATGTACATATTGATTCATCTTTGTATTCCCTTTCAAAAATTATTAATGTACTTGGGTCGAAAATTAATTAGTTTAGAAGTTATGATTATTGTCCCGAACGCCCATAAGATCGCATCACTGTGCGTCGTCGCAATGTCGCCATTCGCACTGGAAGCGCTAAAATGCTTCAGAAAGATAGTCGATCTGTATAAAAACTGTGGATGAACTGCAACTTGAAACCGCAGGTTGAAGCTGCAGATGAAGCTGCCGGCGAAATTGCAGACGAAACGCCGTTTAAAAATGGGATCTCGTTTCTACTACGTATTTGATTTTTGCGTGAGCCGGTCCTTTGAGACCCGGGTTCGTTCTTTTTGCACAGATTTGATCGGAATCCGTGAAAGCCAGGTATCCATGTGCTTACCTGGAAAAATAAATTAAATTCCCCGTTTTGTGAAGGGTAGATACGCAAAATCTCGCGGCGCGGCGTTCCGTGCTCGCGACGTTTCATTTCGTAACAGTGGCCAGGTAAGAAACTCGGATATGCTCGAAGCAGCGGATTTGAAAAGGCACGTAGACGCAGAAACAACATTTGTATTTCTATCTCTGTTCGCATCCTCGGATTCTGGAATCCTTAGAGCAACCATTCCCCGTCGCCCCAACCCCGCCCTTCCACAACGGCAGCGTTCTTCTATTCGACAGAAACACGCGAAGCAGCTTTTGCTTTATCAAGATTGCTCCGCCATCGAGATTGTCCTATTCTTGCGCGACAGGATCGGCGTGTTCATTCATTCGGCAGTCGATTCACCTTTATCCTCCCTCCATCCTGCGTAATGGAAGCAATCTTGTCCTGCGTTCAGATCGGGGATGAGGATTTTATGTTGTCCCTCGGCGTCTTCCGTATTAATGGCGGAAATCTTGCCGATTGTTGCTCTTAATCGTCTTCTTTCCTCGACCACTTCTGACTATTTCAATTATCTTAACGGTTCCATGGGTTCGGTTGTTCGCCTTTTAAGGGAGGAGCCTCGAGTAAACCGTTATTTTTTAGAACGTTAAACATCGATCAAGCCTCCCGCCACTTTCAATACATATTCTTTCATTTACAATCGTAAAATTACAGAGTATATATTCAAATCTAACGACTTAATAGAAGGACAATTGATAGTGAAGTGCATTTTGATATTCAATTTTGATTACATTCAGTAAATTATCCTAATCTTATGGAACTTTTGGTTTCTTTGATTGACAGTCAAAGAAGCATCTTGATCTTGAATTTTAATTTCATTGAAGAGATTACTTTAATTTCATGGAACATTTGTTACTGTTAGATTAACAGTCCAAAAATTAGATACATCTCGACTTCTCTATTTTGATTACATAATTAATTAATTGTCTTAACTTTATGGAACTTTTGGAGTTGTTAGATTGACGATATATATAATTATGAAAATGTGGCGAACATAAAGAATTAAAACTATTTTTCAGAAGTTTGTTAGAACAATTTACAGTTCATACTGATGCTACAATAGTTATAATCAAATATTGCGTCTTTCTTTTCTTTTATGTGGAATATATTTCTCGATAATTTCCTTGAGTAATAAGTAATGTGGAGATTGTTGGAGAATTTCCATTTGCGTTCGTTGGAAGTAGTAATTAAATAAGTCGGGAAGTACAAGATATTCTTGGCGCAGCATTCATATAATTAAGGTTCCGCTGGGATATTCTACTGCATCATAGTAGAATATAATAAAAGGTATCGTATATTACTAGAACCGAACGGCTTCGAGAAAAGGTCTTATAATGTCGTGGATAAGTTCTTTTTATTAGCTAAAACTTCACAAAATAAAAATGTTTTGTCATTAAACAGATATAATTTTCATTAGTATTTTTATATTATACTATTATATTATACTGTCATTATTTTACATATCTATTATATATTATAATATTATACTATTTTATGCTATGAACTAGAAATAATTGGACTCCAAATTTTTATGCAAAATAAAAATTGTTTGCATCAATTGTAAGTTATAGAATGTATTGAATTATTTTATTCCGTTGGAAATAATGCGTCACTATTTTCAAATTCTTTAAATATTTTCACTGTTTTGTATTTGATCTACTCGTTTTCCTCGTAAATGCGTGAAATCCGCAGTCCAGTAATAAGTTCCTTAGTTATTTATAATGTCCATGCCTCCCTTTGAAATATTTATGGAATGGACCGTAGGTCTAGAACTATAATAACAGAATAGAATTACCGCGCACCCAGCTTGCCAATTTAACATTTATAATCATTACTATTCGTCAACAATTAATAATATTTTCAGATGCAATCTACCGTTGCGTAGAATAGTATATTACGAAGCTAAATTAGCTAGCGAATTATTTGTCTTATTGTTAGTTCAGAATAATGAAATAATATCTTCAAATTCTTTAAATGTATATTTATGTTTTGCATTTCATCTACTCATTTTTCTCATAAATGCATACAATCCACAGTATTCTGAAAGTCATTTAATCTCTGCACTGCTTTGTGTTTCACCTACTCATTCTTTCGGTAGCTGCATAAAATCCGCAGTTTAGTAATATATATTTAAATTATTTATGAAGTATTTTTATTTCATCTTGGATAATAACTAGACTGCAGATTTTATGCAAAGCAGTGCATTTTTAACTTATTAGTATATACATAGATGCAGAAATGAGACAGATATGTGCAAAAATTATGCAATTTGCAAACTATGCAATAAAGAAATTATATTTTTGGAATCTTCTAATGATAAAACAAATTTCTGCCAATTATCCTATAAATTTATCTCTTTCCTATAAACATATGCATTTCCATAAACATCCGCATTAATAACATAACATCACATAAACATCCACTGATTAGACTTATTAACGAGGGAAAACAAATCTTTACGTTGCTTTGGTTTCTTTGTATTTGTTTGGTTGCAAAATTTCACTTTGCATAAAGATCCGCGGTCTAATAATAACATAATAGAATCATTGTATACCCCGCTAATTTAATATCTACAATCATTAGTATTCATTAACGATTAATAATGCTTGCAGATGCAGCCTACCGTACAGTAGAATAGTATATTACGAATATCTGCGTACACGCATCAATTTGCATAAACCGTCCATTCCCAATTATTGACTCACATTCCCTTTTTCTAACAACGGCCTCGCATCTCATTACAGAGTTGATCCCTCACGACCGAATGAAAATTAAACTGCAGTTAAATCGACTGTTCTCTCTCCATTAATTGGGTTAATTGGTTTCATAAAATATCCGCGCCCACGGATTCGTTCGTAAAGAAACTTATATGCCCGGGGTTCGAATCACTGCTTGCATAAACAATTTGCTCGCCGACGGCATTTATAAAAAACAAACAGCCGGTTTCGCAACGTTGATCTTGCGTTCTGCTCTTTGTAATTTCATTAACAGGAAACAAACGACACCATCCAGCATACGGACATTCGATAACACTTTGTGGGACACGTTGGTTATAAATGATCGCGGGCTTTTGTGCGAAGTACAAATGGTGTACGTGAATTGTACGTAAATATTTATTTATTGTTATGTCGGGCCACTTTTGTCGGTCATAACATTTGATTAATCGACTGTCGCAATATTGCATCAATTTACGAAATAATGATTTGTGCACAACATCTTGAATACTGGAGCTGTAACATTATTTACACATTCGTTCTTCCTTTTCCACTTTTTAAATAGGTTATTGCAATTATTGATGGAAGAAAGATATGTTCATGTAAATTAGCTCATACATAAGGATCCGCATAGTAATGAATGCAAAGTTTGTTATCTTTTCTCGTCGATACATCGTTAATTTCATCTCGTCACTGATTCCTTCGTTTATTACTATGTTTTTTTACTACGTTTATTACTACATTTATTACTACGTTTAATATTACTTAA